TGCCTCATTCGATTTATGAAACAAGAATATGATAGAGAATTATGGTACAGAATCCAATCAGAGCCAACTCAAGTGAGAATATGCTTAGTTAGAGTCAGAGTCAGAGTCAGAGTCTTTGTTAAATAAATCTACATACACAGATATACAGCTGCAGCCTACACATTCCACTCCACACCCACGCCCCATGAAAGGAGACCAATATATGATATATGGCTGCAAAAAATGGCCCAATAAAGTGTCCCATTGAAATAGTAGTCGAACAAATACTCAAGTGCAGTACCAATATAACAAGCTTTGTTGGCTTAGACAAAAATATCGAATCAGCAATTTGTTTGATTATCACAAATATGTGACACGAGCACACAAGAGGCACGAGCCATTCGTGTCAGCTGCGCATTTGGGACGCGCCAGGATGTGGATGTGTGGACGGAATGTGAGGGCCATAAGCGAGTTGGCTATTTAATCAGACACAATTTACAAAGCCACAGCCAAAGCCGGATACAGAGCACATTGCACGGCAAACAGTGGCCGGGCTTAACTGCAGATGTGGAAGGACACGAGCTGACGCTCGCTGACTTCATTTGCAATTAGTTAATCCATTAATGGATTTATTTAATGTGCAGACGAAAGCGTCGACTAGTACGCATTAAAAGTTGTATTAAGCTTATTTTACATGTAAGCTGTTAAATAAATAATAATACATTTTATGTGTGCTGAGCACGATCAAAAGGCAAAGAGCTGGAGCAGGCAAAGTTAAACGCGTTTACGCACACACTAATTGGATTGAAGATGAATTGAAACAAGATTAAAATCCAAATTGATTTCAAATTGAAGTTAGACATTCAAATTCAAATGGAAGTTGGATTAAATTGAGATATCAGCTTAAATTGAAATTTAATTAAAATTAAAATGGAATTTATATATACAATTCAGTGAAAATTAAAATTAATGTAAAAAATGAAACTAAAATGTTAACAAAATTATTTGAATGGAAAATATATAAAATTCGAATAGAAATTATAATGGAAATTATAATGTAATGTAATTTAATGTGACTGACCATTCAAATAAAACTGAAAAATATTATAAATTAAATCTAAAAAAATAATATAGCTTAAAAAACAAGTAATAATAATAATAATAATAATAAAAATAATAATAGAAATATTAAAAATAATATTAATAATAAAGTAAATAAATAATAAATCAATATCAAACTGAGAGTAACTATAAAAATTAATGTGAATAAAATAAAAGTGAAATTTATTATTAAATTTTAATTGTTGTTTACATTTAAATTTAAATAATTTAAAGTGGAACTTGATCTTATTATAGAAATAAAAAAAAATTTTAAATAATTAAAAATACAAATAAAGAAATATTAATTACAAACTAATTAAAATGTTTATCGATTCAAATTTATATAGGTTTAGTGTAAATTAAAAAATGTGATTAAAAATACATAATATAATTATAAATTAAAAATTTTAATTTTACTTTAAATTGAATAAGTCTCCTTTGATGCAAGGAGCAAGATCAATTGACTTGCGATACTGTATTTGACTTTGACATTCGCTCAAACTCTGTCCCACGCATACGCTCTTCTTCGAATGACGAACAGAGTATACGCAATATAAACAAGACACACTCTTTCAGCTGTTGAGATTCGCCGAGTGGAATACGAAATACAAAGAACGAGTTAGTCTGACAGTGAATCTTGGAATTCATTATCACATGAATATGCCCTGGCTATACTCGATGCCGTTCTCGATCTTCGCAAATGCTGACTGGCATATAGAACTGGAACTGGGAATATAGGCCGTGGTCGGATGTTATCAATTAGGCACAAAATGAGTTACACATTTCGTATAAATTTAGTTACACAAACACACTGAGATGGCTCTTGCTTGCTTTTCCTTTTGATAAACTGCACACAGCTTTTCACAGTATGAGGCAATTAAGACACAGCCACATGCATGTACATATTTGTGTATGTGTGCGTGTCTGTGTGTGCATATATACATATGCCTGTCATATATATATGAATTTGTTCAGCTTTTGTAAATAAATCTAAGCTTAGTTTTGTTTGTCTTGTTGTTGCTCTTGTTGCTGTTACTGTTGCGACTGCTGCTGCTATATACATACATATAGATGTCTCTTAAACTTAAATCAAGTCAAATCAACTGACCGTGCGCCGTTTTTCGCTGCCAGCGGTCAATGACAAAAACATTTTGCGATCATTTCGCTGCCCCTTTGCTCTGCGCCTACACTTTTCATCTTTTTTATTATTTTATTATTATTATTATAATTTTTTTTTCTGACTGTTTCTAATAAGGCGACCTCTGTTTGGCCATTCGTCGTAAGTTTTATTTTTTCATATCATTAAAGTCGAGTTGTCGGAAATATTAGTATTAATGTGTTTTTTATTCGCTTTGATATTCACGCCTTTGTCCACACATTTAGCTGACAGTCGGTTAACATTTTCTGCCTCTAATACACTCTACTCTATATTTAAACTGCTTTTTTTTTCAATTGAATGCGGCCGTAGATCGTCACTTTCTCGAAGTTCTATGGCTTTATAATGCCATAAAGAGAAAAGTACTTATCTATCTTCCAAGTGAACTTCTATTGAGCTATAAACTTAGATAAATTGCAGCCAGCTGCTATACATCATTTTAATTGTATGATCTATATGCTTGAGTTATCAAATTATATCGGAGTATAACAATATTTGTCTAACCTTTGGCTATGTATATATATTTTTATTCAGCTTTTAAAATCCATATTTAAGTACTATTAATATAAAGTAATATATTATGTCTATATAAAAAAAATATACATATATATTTTCTTAAATTTTTTCTTTCATACTTTGCCTTTAAGTATAAATAATACTTGCTTCAATTGAATAATATTTCTCAAATATTCCTCTTTATTTTTTTAGCCACTTCATCCTTGTTGCCATATTTAACTATTCATATGCAATCAATTGGTTTGACGGTGGAAGAAATTGCGATTATCTATTTGGCATTGCCGTTCACAACTTTTCTCAGTCCGCCAATAACAGGTGAGTGCATAAGCCGAAATGAAGGCAATTGACTGAAATTGCATATAAAATTAAAATGAATAACGGGAAATGTAGAATATACATATAAATATTACAGTTCAATTTTCCATGATGTTCATAAAAATATTCATGCAAATCATTGGAAGCAAATACAAAAACTTATATAAACATACATATATCATTTCTATTTTTTTTTTTTTTTATTTATTTATTTTTTTTTTTTTCAAATAAATTATATTGCAGCTTATGTCCTTGACTTTACAGCGCATGTTTTTTTTATTGCTTAACATATTTTTGTTATATATTAAAGAACTACAACTAGTCACAAATTTATTGTGAAAGTAATTTTCAATCTAAAATTTCATAGCATACCTGAAGGAGTCGCTAGAGCATTTAAGTCTTTTGTGGTTGCTTAGTTCAGTATTTAATTAAAACTTATGCAGTTTATTAATTAAGTGAAGATCTTATCACGTAATGCTATTTAAGTTACATTTACTTCGAGCAGCTTCTTTCATCTCAATCTGTGAGCAAATGTGAGCAACTTTGTCAATGGTAAGGGCCATCTTCTAGTCAACATACTTATTTGATAAAGCTTGCCCACTTTATGCAACACTTTGCCAAGCCACAGAGGCAGCTGTAAAGGAAGATGCACACACTAGCACGCACACACTTACACACACACACACATGTAGACACAAATCTCATTTATCTAGAGTTTGTAACTTGGCATTCACTTCTCTACTTTTCTCTGTCGCCGTGCAGGTTTTCTCGTTGACAAATTTGGCAAATACAAACCAGTCGTTGTGATGAGTCTACTGCTGAATGCAATTTTCCATCACTCCCTGCTCTTCATACCCCAACAGGAGATACCCGGCGTGGTGCCATCGGCGTTTGTAATACGCCATCCGGACAGCGGAGACGTTGAGGTAAGCATGCATTTCAATAACACAAGTAGGGTAGCATCAGTCTCATGTGCAGATACCCTAAGTCGTGTGCTAGTAGAGTGAATGACTGGAAGATACCCAACATAAGTGTGCCTGATTAGCAGATAACCTAAATGAGTAAATATAGAGTATGCTTCACTAACATATATTCATATTATCTGATTATGTCTCAGATTCTATTATATTTTACATAAAAATATAGATCTTTACTATTCAATAGAGATAAGATACATATATAGCTGTTACATACAGAAAAATATATCCCCTCTATACATTCTCCATCGGCTCTACAGGGTATAGAAACTACAAAACTCTGTCAAGTTTGTCTGGCTGAAATTTTCTCTTTAATTAGATTAATTGCTCGATTCGTAATGGATAAACCTGCTTTCCAAATACCCAAATACCCAAATTGAATTGGAGCAAGCAGGCAAAGCCATCTGTCTCAATATATACTCTCGGTGTTTGCTTTAAATTCTTAAGAGTAACGCATGTCGATGTTTTGGTTAAGTACAAAATTAATGCAGCCGCATTGCCAGGTCGTGTAGGTGTGAGTAAAGGTGCCTCTGTGTGTGTGTGTGTGTATTTGGCTTTTAGCTAGAGTGCAATCTGGTTATACATTAGCCAACACTCTCACAGCAACACATCCACACACCCACACAAAAACACACCTACACCCACACCTAGAGACCTCCCTGTTGCTGTGGCATACAAAGCTATTTCCAGGCAGCTGTTGCACAGTAGATTTAATGCGCTTACCTTATGAAATGTTGTTGGCTCCATCATTGTTATTGTTGTTGTGGTACCTGCAATTATGACTGTGACAATAGTTTGGCCAAAGCTAAGTAGTTGACATTGGCAAACAGCGTTAGCTGACTGAAAAGTGACACAGAATTTCCACC